GCCAGCCTGGCCACCTAGGAGCAGGTGTGCATGAAAATCAAGGGGGTCCACTGAGACCCCCGACACTGAGCCCTGAGCTTACAATGGCCGTACTGGGTCAGACCAAAGGTCCATCTAGCCCATAGCCTGTCTGCCGACAGCGGCCAACCCTATGGACCCTGGAGGGGATGGACCGAAGACAGTGACCAAGCCATTTGTCTCGTGCCATCCCTCTCCAGCCTTCCACAAACTTTGGGCAGGGACACCACTCCTACCCTCTGGCTAATAGGACTCCATGGACCCAACCTCCATGACTTGATCTCACTTCCCTTTAAACTCTGTTCTAGTTGTAGCCTTCACAGCCTCCTGCAGCAAGGAGTTCCACAGGTTAACTATTTGCTTTGTCAAGAACAACTTTCTCTTACTAGTTTCAAGCCTGCTACCCATTCCTTTCCTTTGGTGTCCTCTAGTCCTTCTTTATGGGAACTCAGGAAGAACTTTTCTGAATGCACCCTCTCCACCCAACCCCTGCTTTTAGAGACCTCTATCCTGTCCCCCCTCCGTCTCCTCTTTTCTAAGCTGAACAGTCCCAGTCTCTGTAGCCTTTCTTCATCTGGGACCTGTTCCCAACCCCTGATCATGTTAGTTGCCCTCCCCTCTCCCAGCCTTTCTCTTCCCCTCTCCCACCTCCTTTTCCCAGTCTCCCCCAGTTTTTTTCAATAAAGACAGAGTCAATGTTGGAAGAAACGTTATCTTTATTTTGTACATCAATAAGAAGGGGGGCTAGGGAAGGGTAAGTGGAAGGAGGTGAGGGAGGAATGGGGTACGAGCCCCCGATGGGGAGGACTGGGCTGGCTCTGCGGGCTTCTGGGGGTGGAAGCTCTCCTGCAGCCCCCCAATTACTCCCTCTCCCCAGATGGCAGCCTGCGGCAAGTGCAGCCGGGCTGATGGCCGAGTGGTGTGATGTGCCCAGTGTGGGCACTCAGGGCACTCCAAGCCAGAACTTCTTTGCAAGCGGGGCACCCCTTAGAACTGTGTGTCCGGGGTGGGGGTCGGGACCCTTTAAGCGCAGCCCTCGGCTAGCCTGAGACAGTATCTCCATGCTCTAAGTCCTCCTTTTATGCCCTGCCGGCACTGCTTCCGGCCATCCTTAAGCCCTGTTCAGAGTCCACTCAATGTGGACTTACTAGTTCGAACTAGCAAAACGCTAGTTCGAACTAGTTTTTAGTTCTAGATGCGTTAGTTCGAACTAGCTTAGTTCGCATTAACTAATTCGAACTAAGTTAGTTCGAACTAGCGCTGTAGTGTAGACGTACCCTTGGCTCTCAGCATGGCAACGGAAGCACCTTGTGTGCCTTCCCTTCACTCAGGCCCTCCTCCAGTTGTGGCTTAGCCCTTCCCTTAGGGCTAGCTGGGGCCCTGAAGGTCCCCATGGTGCACTCCCTCTTCTTGTGTGTCTTCCCTTCACTCAGGCCCTCCTCCAGTTGTGGCTTAGCCCTTCCCTTAGGGCTAGCTGGGGCCCTGAAGGTCCCCATGGTGCACTCCCTCTTAAGATGCCTGGGATCCCCACATGTTGATGTTCAAGGCCCCCCTGTTTCCTTCAGAGGGGCCAGTCTCCCGTTGTCCATACTATATAGGTGGGGCCTCTCTACTCCCACCCAGTTGGGGCACTCCCTCTTCATGTGCCCCCTGCACCCACAGGCATAACAGCTTTTAGGTTCAGGCACCAGCTTTCAGCTTTTGGTGCATGACTGATATCATTTACTTTTATCCTCCACACACAGTTTCTGAGGTCTCTCTGAGTGGCCTGGGGTCCAGAGTCTGTAAGATATCCCCCTTGTTTGCAGGGAGGCACAGCCCAATGGCCCCTTTGGTTGCAGGGTCGTGTGACCCAATGGAACGAGTTCATAAAATAGCCCCCTTGCTTGTAGTGTGGCTCAGCCTAATGGTCAGAGTTTAAAAATTAACTCCCTTAGTTGTAGGCAGCATGACCCAATGATCTAAGTCTATCAAATAGCCCCTTGTATCGGGGGGAACACATGCCCTCATTCTCCAGCACATGTCATAGGGTGGACTCACCACCATGGCACTTCCTGCCAGTAACACTGGGAAATAGCTTGTATCTGCCCACCTGATGCCTCTTGTTTGATGTCTCCCCGTGTCCTCACTTCACTCTCCAGTCTGGACCTGTGTCACTCTTGGACTGTGGTATCCTCTTTAGGACACTACCCTCCAGCAGTGCCCTCTCCAGTGTCTCTCAACCCCCTTCCAAGGGGTGTTTATAAGTCTCTGCACTCTGAGGTTCTCCCAGGGGAACCCCTCCTCCCCCAATTCTCCTGTACCCAATGGTCCACTGACAGTATTCCTCTAGCCCCTGACCTCAGGGGCAACTGTAATCTGAAATGGCCACTCGTGATTGGCAAGGCGGTTTGGACCTGCTGCCTTTTTCTTTCCTGGTTCTCCTCCTGCAGCCCTAGTACTCTCAAACCTAGCCTCAGGCTCTGCAGCCTGAGAGTGAGGTCAGGTCATCATCAGGAAGCCTCTTACTTCCCAGACACCCAGGCTACGTCTACACTGGCCCCTTTTCCGGAAGGGGCATGTAAATTTCACCAGTCGTCGTAGGGAAATCCGCGGGGGATTTAAATATCCCCCGCGGCATTTAAATAAAAATGTCCGCCGCTTTTTTCCGGCTTTTAAAAAAGCCGGAAAAGAGCGTCTACACTGGCCCCGATCCTCCGGAAAAAGTGCCCTTTTCCGGAGGCTTATTCCTAATTCAAAGTAGGAATAAGACCCTCCGGAAAAGGGCACTTTTTCCGGAGGATCGGGGCCAGTGTAGACGCTCTTTTCCGGCTTTTTTAAAAGCCGGAAAAAAGCGGCGGACATTTTTATTTAAATGCCGCGGGGGATATTTAAATCCCCCGCGGATTTCCCTACGACGACTGGTGAAATTTACATGCCCCTTCCGGAAAAGGGGCCAGTGTAGATGAGCCCCCAGTCCCTTCTGCTTCCAGCCAGACCCAGAGTAACTCCTCTCTCCCTCCAGAAGCCATTCTTTAAATAGCCCCCAGCTGGGCACTAATTAGCAATAACTGTCTCAGCTGGGGCTTCACTCTCAGCCCTCAGGGCTGGGTTTTGCCCTTAAAGGCCAGTGCAGGGCAGACATTCTGTCACAAGCCCATATAGTACGTTGGTCATAAAATAATCATAATTAAATTTAACTGTTAGTATACCTTAATTCTCTCACCAGATTGTCTGCTGTGCTCATGTAGCATGTGCCATAATTTTGAGGATTATTCACTGAGTTTCTGATGTTTTATTTGTGCTATACACCATCTCTTGTATAACATGCATATGCCTGAAAATTTGCTCATCCTCTGAACTAAACCTGACCTGATGATTTCAAGATGTTCAGTTATATGGCTCCTTAATAAAATCAGAATAGGTGTTTTCCATATATTCATGTTCACCTGGACTCCGAGGTTCCAGATAGTTCCAAAATACAAGAGAAAACTGCTTTCTAAAGTGAGTAGGAAGGGGGAAAAAATCTGAAATCCCATTATATTTTCAATCTGATTTTCACACTGATAAAGTCCAGATAGTCTGGGAAAGTATCTGAACTTCTGGTTGAGTCAATTATCTTAACCTAAACTTTGAACCTTTTGAAATTCTCCCAGTGCTATTTATTATTATTGTGTTGTCTCATGACAATACACCAAACACGACACACTATTCCCCTCCTAATTCAACTAAGTTTCCATTACATATACATTTGCTTTAATACATACTACACTAATAATAAAGTGTTCTACTATTAGAAACACTCCATTGGTGATTAGTCATGTTTCATCAAAGAGAACTAAATTCTCTCTGTATTTACTCCAGTGTAAAGCATCTGAAGTCAACAAAATTAATTTCAATTTACACAAGTGTAATTTGGAGCAAAATTTGCCCTTGCAGTGAATTTAGTGGTTTGTCCAATTACTGAAAATAAAAATCTGATCCAAGCTGGTAGTTTGGCAAGGTTGTAGCACATTTTGAGAATGCAACTGTGTTTATTCACACAGGAAATTCACTGTCTGTGCAAGTGTCCATGGAAAGGATTAATAGAATGTCAGCACTAGTGAATGAGAGCGTTTTCCTTCATCAAAGAAATTTTGAACATTTTCAGATACTGTTTGTTTTGAAAATGGTAAAGCGACAAATTTACAGTTAATTGGGTTTGTATTATAAGAAGTGATGCCTAAAGCAATTGGTTTTTATGCTCTCCTTGTAGGTACGTAGTAGCAAAGCTAGTGGCTACTGTTTAGACCAGGGAGCAGAAGATGATGACAAAGCGATTCTCTATCCTTGCCATGGAATGTCCTCCCAGGTAAATTAGCTGACACTTTTGTTACTCTTAAATAACAATAAACTCTTGGACCTAAACAAAATGTGATTGGATGGATATTGGCAGAATTTGGGCTTTTCATTACTTTATCCTTTGAGTAACTGAGGGTCTTTTTTCCTCAAGATATTTCATAAGGAAATCCACCTCACACATATTGTTCCAGAAGACCTGATTTGCCTCATATCTTCCAAAAATTGTATTAATCATGTGTTCCTTCTAAAGCAGGTCTGTACAATTTCACAATAGTAGAGAAACGTTTGTATATAAGAATGGTCATACTGAGAAAGACTAACGGTCCATCTAGCCTAATATCATGTCTTCTGACAGTGATAGTGCGAGGTATTTCAGAGGGAATTAACAGAACAGTGATCCCTCCCTTGTCTTCCAGTCCGAGCATCTGGTTGCTAGAGGTTTAAGAACACTCAGAGCATGAGGTTGTGTCCAGTCTTCCCTCTAAGTTGTGCAGCAGCACAGCACAGCTCTGCCCAGTTAGTCAGCTCCATGCATGGACCCCTGAGCCTCTGACTGAGCGGGGCTGATTAATCACCTGTGAAGTTATGCTGGCCTTCAGTTTAGAGGGAACATTGGTTGTATCCCTGATTATCTTGGCTAAAAGCCATTGATTAATCAATTCTCCTTGAACTTCTCTAATTCTTTATGAACCCACATATACTTTTTACCTTTACAATATCCCCTGGCAACAAATTCCACAGGTTGACAATGTATTATGTGAAGGATTAGAATCATAGGGCTTTTGATTGCTGCTGCACATTAAACAGATGTGATTGGAGAACTATCTACAGTGACTCTAAGATCTCTGTCTTGAGTAGTAACTGCTATTTTAGACCCCATTATTTTCAATGTGTAGTTGGGATTATGTTTTCCAACATACATTCTTTGTCTACATTAAATCTCATCTGCCATTTTATTACCCAGTCACCCAGTTTTATGTGAGATCCCTTTATAACTCTCTGCACTCAGGTTGAAACTTCATTAGCTTCAAAAATTTTGTATTGACTATAAAGATTGCCGTCTTAATGTTTACCTCTTTTTTCCAGATCATTTATGAATGTGTTGAACAGCATTGATCTAAGTACAACATTACCAAACAAAGACAATGGGATATTAGTCACATGGGTTTTTTCCAATTTATATGGGATACTTTCACAAACATATTGACCTATAATAATTTTATCACAAAAAATTCTTTAAATGGTAAATGAAAATATGTGGCTTCACCATAAGAATTTAATTGACCAAAATCAAACAATTTTGTCCAGACTATAGTAACCAAAGAACTATGTAATTTACTTTGTGAATCTATGTTCTAAAGATGTCAATTAAAGAAAATATTAAAATATTTTAAATTTGTTCTTATAATAGAATATTGTAAAATACTGAATTTAGAGTGTACGATCCTTACAAAATTGTTTATCACTTGCTCACGGGATTAGTCTTATTGCCTTAAGCTTTGCAGTAGACCAATAAGGCCCTGTTCAAGAAAGCATGCAAGCATGAACTTAACTTTTAGTGGTGGCTTCTATGCATTGTTAAATAGGGATGCAGTGAAACACATGCTTAAAGTGTTGTTTAAGCACTTTTAAACTAAGATTATTATAAAAAAATATTATTTATTTTATGCTTATATGCTTTTCTAATCAACATTTATTTTCATGAATTAGGCCTCATGTATATAATTTTTTCTTACAAATGTTTTTTGCCATTCATTTTAAAATGAAGTGCCTCCATCCCATATTTTTCTTTCTATTACTTTTCTTTTTAAATGAACCTAGATATTATTTAAATCCAATACTTTGTTTTTTTCTGTAATTTAATTTTAATTTCTATTGAAGCAGAATTTAAATCAAACCTGCATTAATGAACAGTCATTCGTGCATAAATAATGTCTGAACTTATTGCTAACTAAACAATTAAATGAAGTTCAGCCATACGTTATTGGCTTGGAATCGTAGCATGTACATTACCATGAAGCATAACAAGATTTGCAAAATATAAATATTGCCTATTGTGGTTAATTGCAAGCCAGCGACAGGTTGTACCTTATTACAGCAAAATGAATAGATGCTTGATTCACACTGCCAAAAGATCCACCCTTGGCATGCTCCTTACGGAACACTTGACTGACACTTTCAGAGTACATTTAGATAGTACATATGATTAAGATAACAAAATAAAGTTGCTTAATTAGATGCAAATGAGTTTTTCAGGAAGAGTCATTATCGGTGAAGACTGACAAGACTCATGTACAGAGTGAAGCTTCTAGCACCATTTTATTTTAACCAGAAGGTCCCAGTTTAAAGTCCTTGTAGAAGGTCTCTCTTCAATCTCTAATATTCTTCTAAGTAAAAACTTAGGGTATGTCTACACTTGCCCCCTAGTTCAGACTATGGAGGCAAATGAAGCATACCTCATTGCACGAGGAGTAACAGTTAATTTGAGGGAAGGGTTTTGGATCGGACTACTGCGTCTACCTGAGTTAATTCGGGCTACTAGCATTTTTAAATGGTGACCAGATGCGAATATGCTAATCAAGCGTGGGATATTTAAATCCCACACTTCATTAGCAACTTTGGTATGTTTCATTTGCCTCTCTAGTCCAAACTGGGGACAAGTGTAGACATACCCTTAAAGACTAACAAAACATGTAGATGGTATCATGAGCTTTCATGGGCAAAACCCATGACCAGAGTATAATAAGTCCAGATCCAAGAATAGATAAGGGAAGGAGGGAGGGGCTGGAGAGAGAAGGAAAAAGGAGGGGAGAAAGAAAAAGAGAGACAGTGAATGCAAATAGTTACAAGAGGCTGTTAAAAACCATTATACCTTCATTGTTTGGTTGGTTGTTTAAGACATTAAAAGGTGGAAAGGTAGGGTGCGAGCTATCCTCTATCCCGGTTCAGACTATTAGCATAAGAACTAAATTTGTGAATGAAGTTAAATTCCAATACTTCTCTGTGTATTTGGCTTGTTGAATTGGTCTGAAACAAAACTGACCTGGAGATCCAATAATGAGTGTCCAGGAAGATTAAAATATTCTCCAACAGGTTTTTGTGTGTTACCTTTTCAGATATCTGATTTGTGTCCACTAATTCTTTCCCATAGAGATTGCCCAGTTTGACCAATATACATTGCAGTGGGGCATTGCTGGCATTTGATGGCATATGTCAAGGATAATTCCCCACTCTGGCACGATGAATGTGGAAGTGGGGGCCTGCAAAAGCAACCCCAAAACCTGATATCTACAGGATTTGGTACAAAAACTCCCCCCAAATTCCTAATACTTGGATTTTGGGAAATAAACTGCTACCATAAAGTGCTTTTGAACCCACAAACAGGGGTGGACACTTGAAGCCAACCCCAGGGCACCTCAAGCTCTTTTCTCCAAAGAGCTTGAAAAGAAAAGAGAAAAATACAAGCTGCAGTCTGTGACTGCTGTCTCCTTGTCAGAGGCATGCAGATCCCACAGACAGATTTTCCAAGACACAGAAATGAACCAATACCATGTTAATTAAAAAAAGAAAGAATGTTTATTATCAAAACAATACCCCAGTTACAAGCATAATTGGACTGGCTAGATGTTAAGTGCCACCAATTAATATACTCATGGAGGATTCCGCCATGGGCCAAAATTTACTTGTAAAAGAAAGGAAAACCCATTTTTAACAGCACAAACATCAGATCCAAATTCCCAAACCAGAAAACAATAAAACCTGACGGATTCATCTAGACTTTACCCTACTTACATATTATGAAGAGTCTTTTTCTTGAAGAGAGACATGTCTTTGTCTCCCTCAGTATCTAGAGAGCAGACTGACTCAGAGACAGACGGAAAACCCAAAAATTCCTTTGTCTCAGTTTGAAATCCCTACCTGCATTACTATTGGCTGAGCAGATACCTGCCTAGGTACAGAGGATATAGTCAACTCCTTAGTCCCCAGGCTGCTAGCTATCCCTCATTGTTATGACAGCATAGATCATATTTGTGGATGTGCAGTTAAATGAGCCTTTGGTCTCGTGGCTGATGTCATTTGGTCCAGTGATTAAATTTCTGTTACAGATGTGTGTGCTTTGGAGCTGATTTCAGGGATGGGTTCCAGGATGATTATGATGGAGGTGTGTTGCATGGTTACTGGAAAGAATTTGTTTGAGGTGAGGGGGTTGTTTGTAAGCGAGAATTGGCCTTTTCCCCAAGGCCTCTAAGAGCGAGGGGTCATTTTCAAGGATAGGTTATAGATAGTTGACAATGCATTAGAAGCATTTAAGTTAACATATCCTTCTGAGTGCTCACTTGAGTCAGTGAGGTAAATGGCTCTGGCTATAATTTATAGGACAGGTAAACTGTCAACCTAGTTGTGGGTCATTCTGACACTCTCATTTGATACAGTGCACTTCACCCTCATAAGAAAAGGGGATGAGATGCATCACAATTGTGGTTTTGAAAGCTGTTATGGTTGAACAGTCATGAAAAGCAAATTAATCATTTCCCCAACATCTACTGACTGGCTAGCAGGCTGCAGAGGTCCTACGAAGCAGTTAATGTATCAGATTACATCTCCTGCTGCCATTGCCATGCACCTTCCTGATGAAATAATTACATGTATTATCTAAATATCAGGACATATTCTCTGTATTAAAGTAGAGGCCCCGCCCCTCCCAGCACTAGCTCCTTCTCCCAGGTCAGAGCCCCCTCCCACTGTCCATCTTTCATCCCTATGTAAAAATACAGTTTATTCTTTGTTTACCAAAAACAGTTGTGTTTATTGGGAAGAGAGGGAAGTGTGGGGGGAGGGAAGGGTTGGAGATGGGAGGGAGATGTGGACTCCAGACAGAAGCAACCCAAGCGTGGAACCTGAGAGAACGTCTCCTTGAGGGCCTCCCAGATGTGCTCCCCATCATGGTGTGCGGCTGTGCGAGGCTGCACAAATGCCCAGCCCTCACCTGCCATTCCCCCCAAAAGGAAGGCCTCCCCTTTCTGCTCCACTATGTTGTGCAGCATGCAACATGCTGTGAGAACCTCTGCAATGTTCTGCTTGCCCATTTTGAGATGGGTGAGAAGACAAGGGAATCTCGAGTTCATACGTCCGAAGTCGCACTCCACCTGGTTGCAGGCCCGGTTCAGGTGCTGGTTGAATGTTTCCTGGCTGAAGTCCCTGCATCCAGTGTACAGTGGCATCAGCCATGGAATGAGGGGGTAGGCTGCATCCCCCATGATGCACAGTGGAATGCGGACGTCCCCAACCATCAACTTCCGCTGGGGGAAGAAAGTGCCTGCCTCCATCCTGCGAAACAGGCTGGAGTTTCGGAGGATGCGGGAGTCATGTGCTTTGCCTAACCACTCCACATAGATGTCCGTGAAGCATCCATGGTGGTCCACAAGGACCTGGAGCACCATTGAAAAGTACCCATTCCAATTGATGAAGTGGGCCACTCTATGCTCCGGTGCCCGGATGGGGATGTGGGTCCCATCCATGGCTCCCCCGTGTGTTGGTGAACCCCAGGGCAGCAAAGCCAGCCACGGTTGCATCTATGTCCCACAGGAAGATGACCCTCTTGAGCAGGATGTTGTTGATGGCTCGGACAACCTGTAGAAGGGCACACAGAAACACGGGGAATACACAGAATGAGGTGCCTGCCCCCCTGTGATGCCCTCTCTCACCCAAACACTCCAGGGTCCTCTTGCCCCGGAGCCTCCCCCCACCAGCAGGTCTATGTGAGGGAGGGATGGCACAAGCCCCTGGGTGATGGGGCTTCCCTCAGCCCCAGTCTTCCCTTCCCCCAGGCAGGGACTGCAGCCCCCTGAGGGTCTTATCTGCATCAAAACAGCACCCACTGTGGACCTGCCTACCCCAAATTGGTGTGCCACTAAGCGGTAGTTGTCCAGGGTGGCCAGCTTCTACAGGGTGATAGCGACCCTCTTATCGACGGGGATGGCGGGCCACAGCTGGATGTCGCATCTGAGGAGCACAGCAGCAAACCGGCTACATAGCTCCAGGAACATCTGCTTCTTCATCCTGAAGTTGTGAAGCCACTGCCGGTTGTCCCATTGCTCTAGGACCAGCTGGTGCCA